GAACCCAATTTAGTTTAACGATGTCCATGACGAGGTCGCGGGAAATCGTGTATCCCATACCTATAAAAAAAAAACACTCATCCTAAATACTTTGTGCGTTTAATGCCAATGATGGGTGAATTAGGAAACATACCCCACATGTAGACGTTGGTTCCTTCGTTGATCAAAGTATAATTAAGTAATAGACCATAGTATGCTCGTTCTCTCGGCAAATCTTGAATATCGCGGTAGTAATGAATAAGGTGGATAAAACTATCATCGTCCGCTTTCAACATATAATTGTCATTTCTCTAAACAAATCAAAAACAGAAGTGTTGGTGCCCAGGAACATATTCATAATATGGTTAATCTGTAACAAGAATACTTGCGTTCTCAGCGAACCAATCAAAAAACTTGAGTGTCTTTCCCTCTTCCTTATTTTCCGTGATATTCAACACAACCATATCTCCGTACTTTTCTGATTCTTTGTTTATCTTATCTACTTTTCCGTCCTTTGGAAGTCCCAAAAAAAACTTAATCGTTACAGGAGATTCCTGAACTCCAAGATATCGTGCCAGTGCTGCGTTATTGTGCTTATACATATCACGCAGGTAATTCCTTATCTCGATCTTTTCGTACACGGTCAGAATTCCAATAAATATTGTTACCTTCGGATCAATACCGGGAGGAGGTTTAATATAGGTATCATCCACCATGGGTGGTAACGGTGCTATGGATCCTTCTGAAACCAGTTTGCCACAACCATTATCGCCTTTGTACGAAAAGTAATACACAGAGAAGGAGACAAATACAAAGTTTAAGAGTAAAATGGTAAGGAAAGTCTTGTAACGATTAGGGTAATTTTGATAGTATTTAAAAACCATGGCTCACTGGATCTGTCCAAAAAAACCGAATATTTATAAAATGTTGGACCTAATGTTCTGTACAAAAAAAAATTTCATGTACTTGAATTCTTCCTGATTATGTACACGTACAGCGAGGCTATGTTTAAAAAAAACCGGATCTACAGTGCATTATCAAGGATTGACAGGTGCAGATTTGCTCATTTTCAACAGGAAAATGCCGAAATGGTGATAAAACATATCTCGTCTTCAAGGAATTAGGTACTTAAAAGTCTTTCATGGGCCACCTCTGCTTATTGAAAAACTAAGCAAATCAGGTTAAAATCATCTTAACTATATATGGGAATGCGAAGACGCTGGAATAAAGAGTTTCGCAACATCATGCATTCTACGTATTTGTGGGAAATTTTTACTTTATATTTTTTTGATGACTTTTTCAACAATAATAACGACATACAGTAACATGACTAGTAGTGATGGTAATAATCGATTATTTATTTTACTGATCAAAATACATTTTGTATATCGATTATTGTTTGTTATCGGGTTATTTTTAGTAATCATTATTTTGTTTTTTGTTTTTTCAGTATTTAGCCTTATCACAATCGAAAGCACCTTTTCCATTAAAGTAATATTGTCACATGTACAATTATCATCAATTTTTTTAAACCATTCTAGTTATTATTAACATTAAAATTGTATTGATTCTGCATATTTTGTAGAAACTTGAACATATCATATTGGTTAATTTTAATTTAAAATAATTTTTTAAAAATAAAATAAAATATGGGTTGATACACAGCAAAACCATGCTTTGAAAGGTTTTCACAAAAATTTCAATTTTTAGTGGATTATACTCCCAAGAACGTCCTTTATCTGTGATAAAAGTTTGGATATATATTAATATATTATAAT